TTTTTTTTTTTTTTTTTTTTTTTTTTTTTTTTTTTTTTTTACTGATTGTAAATGTTTGTTTTGTAAGGCAGAATCTATTGATATGATTAAATCTTATTCTAAAAATTGTTGTAGGACCATGAGTGTCCATTAATAAGGGTGACATTATCTTATTTGAGATGTAAAAAATGTGTTGTGTATCTCAAAAGTAAACAATCATTCAGATAATCAAGATCCAGTCACAACTTTTTCAATAATTTAAATAGAGATGTATTTAGGAATGAGGATGTCTTCATGAACTTTTTCAATAATTTCAATGATTTAAAGGGAGTTGGAATTAATTTAATAATGAGATGTTCTTATAATTTGGGAATACTAATCCAATTGAGAAAGTGTGTTCTTTTACCTTTTCAGCAACAGCCCAATCCCCGCCGTAGATATGGTCATATTTGAAGTTTCCCTAAAGTTTTTAAAATGTGTCTGTTCGAAAAAATTTCTACACCCTTATTAAAAATGTTTGTTCTTTTTTCCAATTGACATGGGATCTCACAATCTACTGGGTCCTAGGATCTTTGTTGGCTCTCATTCCCTTCTTCAATTGAGGTGGCACCCCTAATTCTCTTCCCTTCGAAGCCCAACGTTTTTGCTTGCACATAGCCTTATGTCCACCTCTTTAGGGTTCAGCCTTCTTGTTGGCACATCATTCAGTGTTTGGCTCCGATATCATTTGTAACGTCCTAAGGCTCCTCCTAACAAATGTTGAAAGGAAACTCGGTTCCATTTGTAACGCTCCAAGGCTCCTCCTAACAAATGTTGAAGGAAAACTCGGAAAGAAAAGTTAAAATAAGACAATACCTGTTAACGGTGGAACGAAGGTAAGATAAGCATATAGAAGCATGTTCAAAAGAAAAGGAAACTGTCGAAAACTCTCTAAAAAAAATCTATCATTTTGAAGTTCTAGAAGTTCGATATCAACAAGAAGTAGGGACAACAATAGTAATGCATAATCGATCGAAATATAAAGCCTATAGGCTACAACTTTCTACCTCTTGGGTCACGACTCAATGAGCATGGGGCCATAGAAGTTCTTCAAGAACAGATCAGTAGAAACTTTCTTCTGTATTTCCACGACTCCTTATCACTTATCGGTGACTGTCCTACCCATCACATCCAGGACCAAGAGTTAAGCACATGATGCCAAGGATCGTCTAATTTGGATAACACTTTCAATTATTGGGACGAAAATGCTAAGGCTTTCGGATAATTGGCTTTCCATTCAGGTCTGCAAACCTTGTCCGCATGTCTCCATGTCATTTCTAGTTCTTGAAGAGAGAGAGAGAGAGAGAGAGAGAGAGACTGTTGACAAATCCATGGTTCTGCTCAGCCTGCTTGCGGATCTGTCCAAGTTTCTTGCTTTTTTGATCGTTCATTTCTATTTGATACCTGTGCTGTTTGTTTAAAGTTTGGTAAGAAGTTGGGTGGAGGAAACTTTTAGCAGAATTGCCAAACGCCGCTTGCTTTTAAACATGAAAGTGAGAGAGGCTGCATGCACATTAAGAAAAGTAAGAGACAAAGGGAAACAGACATATTGAAGAAATCAAAAAAGGGAAAAAAGGCAAATCAAAGCAAACGCATGACAAAACTACAGGAATACAACTGCTCAAAACCAATTGTGTGTTTGTGTCGAGAACCCCACATTCTTCCTCTAAACAAAACAAGCCATGTGAACGTGTGAGCGACCCCCCGCATGCAAACACACACAATAATAGATCATACCTATCTCATGCATGATCTATCAGCCATCGCAACCCCTCAACTGTCGATCAGATGTATGCTTTTTGTACTTATCTCAGATGTCACCAAGACAGGGAATGGAATGGATGCCAACTGTAACCGTCTAAATTCACCACTAGCAGTTATTTCGGAAGGTTTTTAAAATGTGTCTGATCGGGAGAGGTTTCTACATTCTTACAAAGAATGTTTCGTTTCTCTCTCAAACTGATATGTGATATCACAATCCACCTCTTCTGAGGCCCAACATCTTTGCTAGCACTCGTTCTTCTCGTAAATCGATGTAGAATCCCACACCAGTGCACCAAGAAAAGCACAAAAAAGGGACGACTTCTGCAAATATGAAATGACACGAGATGAATCAATATCATATAAAAATGAGAGATATTATGAAATAGGGCTAGTATATGATAGTAGACAAAGTTTAAAAGAAATAGCAGCTACATCACATATAGCCATATCAAACGAGTTTAGAAAACTTACTAAATAGAGACCAACTCTACTGTTGAAATGACGAACAATGTTAGTTTGTATAGTGTTCACTCAGTTAAGCTGACTTTTGGATTAGAAACAAAAGGCATTGGGAGATGTAGTACAAGTACTATAAGAGCTCTAAAATCTAAACCAGCTAGCTATTGTGGCTGAGGTTGTCTCTTAGTCACAACATACACCTATGTAACCAATTAATGGCGCTTTATTAATATATGCACATTTAGATTTACAAAGGCCATGTGCTCGCAGAATAAGCCGTGGAAATTTGTGCGACTGTCGCTGGCTGCTAATTACTAATCCCAAACAAAACCAATCTTCCTCAATGTAGCCACTAATAATACTCGATTGGGGCCACAGGGCAGCTTTCATCCAATGCAACTTTTTCTCTACTAAATGGTGGGGGAATAAATGGTGGCGTAGTACATCTCAATAATGCCCAATTCACCCCTTGGAAAAATGAATGGTGCTTGATCACCGACGACCCTGTCGTTGACCCCAGCCGCCTCGCCGGGTCTTTGACCAGTAACTGGGAAATGAGGTCCTTTGCCGCCACTGGCACTGCCGGTTCTTTAGGAAACTCAAGGGCTCTGGCCACTATATTGGCCAAGGTGAGCTCATTGTCCATGCCTCTAAAGGGTGTCACCCCGTAAAACAACTCAAACACAAACACCCCTAGAGTCCACCAGTCCACTGCGCTTCCATGGCCCTCACCGGAGACAATCTCCGGTGCCAAGTACTCGTGGGTGCCAACAAATGACATCGACCGGACGTCGACCGGTTCAGCAACAAACTCAGGTCCATTGCGGCGACCAGACTTCTTCTTCCGCTTGCGTTTTGGGTTGAAACATGACACGGCGGGGACTATACAGTTTGGAAGTATGCAGGAGGATGATGCAAAAGGAGGGGCATCAATTTGGTAGTCCTTTGGCAGGGCGGTGCCATTTGTCGGATTTTTACCATTGATAACCTGTGGGGTCGCCGTTGAATCCTCACACTTCAAGGAGAGATCAAAATCAGTGAGCATGATATGGCCGTCCGATCGTACCAGCACATTTTCAGGCTTGAGATCACGGTAAACGATCCCCATCATGTGAAGATACTCGATAGCAACCACAATCTCAGATGCATAGAATCTACAAGCAAACAACAAATGCCAATCAAAACGATACATAACAATAAACTATAGGGTGAGGGAGACTTGACACAAAGTCAATAGCTGACAGGTAGAGAGAGAGAGAGAGAAACAAAACATCAAAACCAAGCATGTCTGGGAAAATGGCTATTGCCATTGGCCTATATACAGAACATAAATAGCAAAAGAACAAGAGAGAAATAACAAAGTGTCTGTAAACTTTTAGCCTGTGGGCCGACCAAATTAGCTAAACCAATGGCTACGTGGAGGGGCTCCAGGAATTTCCCTCCTTTTTTATTGGTTTGCATGTATATATGTCTCATCTCCTCGGCCTGGCCAGTTAAAGTCACACATTAAGGATATTAAAAAATAATGTGCTTTCACATTTGAAACCATCCAAGAGAGAACATTCCCCATTATTATTGTAACGTGGGAGGCCTCGGATTCTTGCAAATCACATGGTTATTGACTTATTACAGATCATTTAGAAAGATTTGACAAATCATGAGATGAACGATGAGGGATTGACCATCTTAGATTTGAAGCTAAAGGGTTGTCCTGAGTAAGTTTACTCAAAATGGTAGGTAAAACAATCCAGAAATCTAGTAAAAGCACGGAGAGCCACGAGATTTGGAATTCTAATTCCTTTCGAGATCTCAAAATCTTCAAGAAAGAACATGTGAGCCACTCTCTGATGCTAAAGAGCAACTACCAGAATTGTTTATATGCCAATTTGATATTTTGGCCATATGAACATGTAATATATGTATTTATCTAGTGCCTGTTTTGGACCCTACACCATCACTACACCCACCCCCCGCACCCCAAAAAATCAATTAAATAAATAAAACAAAACTACTTGTTCAAGTAACGGAGAGAAAGAGAGAGAAAAATGTCTTTTAGCGGCAATGGTAATAAATGGGCAACAAAACCTGCTTACTTACCATTACGTTCTCTCTGATTTATATATTTTGGTTCATTTACTTTACTTACCAGTAGGGTGGCAAACCTTTTTTTTTCTATAATAAATT